GTGGCGTGGGGGTACTGAGGCGGGGGTGGGTGGCGTGGGGGTAATAGGGTGGGTGTGGGGGTAAAAAGGTGGGTGTGGGTGGTGAGGGGTACTAATGATGAGAGATGGGAGGTCTGAGGCCTCTGGTGAGGGGACATGGTTGATGACAGTGGCATTCTGGGCACAGTGTCTGAGGTCTGCACTGCATTCGTGGGTTGGACCGTCTGCGTGGCAGCAGAGATCTGTTGTTCCCTGGGCACGGGAGGGGCGTCTGCTGAGGGTTGAGATGGAAAGCGGGTAGCCATGGGGCTTCCCCTTGCTGCCCACCGGCACCTGAGACCCAGGGGGAGAGCCTGGTCGAGGGTGGGAAGTTCCTCTGTGTGTCCTCCGGCCACCCAGGTTCCCCCTGGGGCCACACAGCCGATGTTGCTGTCTGCCTCCTCTGCAGTGGCCGCTGAGCTCTGGGAGGGGAGAAGAGCGGCTGAGGAGCGGGGCCGGGGCCTACAGGGCCAGCAGCCTGCACCCCACTCCTGTGGCTGGCAGTGCATGCGGCCGACCCTGTCCCAGAACCGGGTCCAGGGTGTCCCCACGGTCTCCGACACTGCAGGGATGCATGGCCAGGACCGGACACTGCCCAGGCACCCTCCAGGGCCTTCCCGAGGCCCCACAGCAGCAGCTGGCAGGGCGTGGGATGGGCAGCCGATGCCACACATGCACAGGGACGTCCCGCTTAGTCCCACCCTTGCCCCAACGACGGCACAGCAACCAGACCGCAGAGGAGGCTGCGCTGCCCACCTGCCCACGCCTCGGACCTGCACAGAGCCGCACCCACCCGCAGACACAGCCTGGGCCTCACCCTTCGAGGAGGGCTGCGGCTCCCCTTCCCCGTCACAGCAGACACTGGCCATCCTGAGGTCAGCTGAGGCCTGAGGCCGCTGGTGCCGGGCTGAAAGGCGGGTCCCCCCACTCCTTCCCGCTACGGGTGCTTCTGACCCATGAGGTCACCCACAGCTGCCCGCTCTGCCCCGTGTTCTGGGGGTGGCTTTCTTGGGCGTGGCTGCCGATGACACCCACGCTTTCCCAAAGCAGCTCTCTGCTGATAATTTCCATCTTCTTGCTCAGCTCTTCCACAGGCACAAAGGGTTTTTCCCGTGGTAGCATATTTTGAATTGCAGGTAACATGTGAGCCTCGAGACGTATCAGCGACCTGAAAGAGGAAACTTGCTTTGCCTAACGTCAGATGTCCCCGCAACAGGATGTGGCGAGCTGTTATACCACACTTTAATTTCATAAGGAGGGTTTTTTCCCTTATATTAGACTTTTCTCAAAAACGCTCCTGAGGTGGAAACTCTCGTTTTTCCTGTGCTTGAGTGTGAGGTCTTGAGCCCTTGCTAAGCCGGTGCCTCCTGGAGGCCACACCCGACTCCCACACTCACGCCCACCCTCTACACACATCTGGAATTGAGTGGAGGAGGAAATCAGGATATTTTTAAATACAAAAACTGCCAAGTACAAGGGCGGGCGGGGCTTCCACCTGCATCACCTGTGAATCTTGTCTGCACCCCGCTGGGGTCACGGCTCCCACCAGCTGAGTGTAAACAGGCCGTAGGTGAGACGCCTTTCTCAGTCAAGTATTTGTGTCTTCACATCACCAGCTTCTTTTTGATCATCATTTTGAAAGAAAGCTGACATTTAAACTTCACCCCGTACTGAGCTATCCAAAGCCGATTCTTAGGTTTCACTTCACGACGCTGAGAATGATGTGAGCCAGCGAGGAGCTGCGAGGTCTGGATGCCCTTCCGTATATTTTGCCCCCTCACTGCCTGGCTTGGAAGCAAAGTTTTTCTGCATTTCTGAATGTCTGGTTTCTGAAAGCAATTAAGGATCTTATATTTCAAGGAATGAGCAAGCTACCCATTTCCCCAGCTGTCATGCAGCCCTGCCTGGCCCTCCGGGCACCTGTCTGAGTCTGCTCCTCCCAGCACTCCCACGGGGGACAAAGGCAGGCACTGTAGTCACCTGCTCTGTCCATGGGGACCACGAAAGGCTCAGAAAGTAGGAACGGCAACCTGGGACCCCACAAATGACAGGGCGGGGCTGACCCGCATTGCGGTCTGAGCTCGGCCAACTATGCTGGGCCCTCACTGCTGCCGGTCCCTGATGCCCCCAG